AAGGAGTATACAACAGCAATAGAATGTCATAAAGTTAAACAGTGCAGAATAAGTCTGTTCACATTTCAGGCGAAATTTATACTGTTGAGATAGTGTCAAGACATATTTAAGACTGTCAAGAATGTGTCGAGACATATTCAGACATTATTTAGAATGTCAAGAATATGTCGAGACATATTCAGACATTATTAAGAATGTCAAGAATATGTCAAGACAGATCGTGACAAATTTAAGACAGTCAAGATTTGGTCGAGACTAATCCAGACTCTTATCAGATGATACAGGAAGTGTCGACAAATTTTAAGACAATGTTCATACTGTCAAGACACTTGTCAAGAAAAATCAAGAACCTTATTAGACAAATTCATACTATGTCAAGAATTTTTAAAAATCATTCAGACAAATTAAGAATGTCGAGTAAAAATTCATGCAAATTTAGACAAAAACTGGTCTTTTCAGACTTTTTGACTTTTGTAGTGAAGGCAGATTTACTTTTTCAAAACAAATTGCATCATTCACGAAGCGCATATATGCATTTTTATCAGAGAATAAAAAACAATTTAAATTTGAAAATCGGTCTGGAGCAACTGACGATTTTGTTTTGTATGCATTGCACTTTTGTAATTCTCTATTGCCTTTCAGCTCATTTTCAAAATGAAAATGTAATAAGTCATTCTTAATTGATTGTGTTTTTTTTTTATTTTAAGAAGTAGTTTTATAAACCCTATAAAAAAACAAAAACAAAGAAAAGTTAAAAACAATTACATTTCTTAATAACAAATATATTATGAAAATAAAGTAAACTTTAGCAATTTGTCAAAGGTATGTTTATTACGCATGACATGTGTGTACATCAAGAAATATTAATGTAATCATAAGTGCAGATTTCATCTTTGTATCAATAAATGTACATATATGTTTATTCATGTCTTCGTCACTACATTTTTATTTTATTTCAGAAGAGTGTTCACAAATTAATAATCTTTATATGGTTTTATTTTTATCAATGCTGCATACAAGCTTGACAATATAATGCAATCTTCAAAAGATATCCCATACACAGGTAAACAGTTAGGTGTATATGTCAACTATTAACCAATTACAAAACAATCAGGACAAACCAGAGGTTTTAAAGTATGCCATTGTTGTAATAAAACAGGATATCAAATGTTAATTGCCTGTATTTTCAATATTTGAATTAGAGAATGAAAAGAGCTTGCGATGCTCATTTGGTCCGTTGTTCATCTTTAACAATAGCCATTCTCAAACATTGTAGATTCGAATGTAATCCATAACTAAAACCTTTTTTTTTCGTATTATGCTGATCGTTGTCTCCGTTTACTGTGTCTTTCTATTTGCTATACATTTATAATGTTTTTGATTTGAGTGTCATTGATGAGTTTTTTTGGAAACGAAACGCGCGATTGGCGTACAAAATTCTAATCTGGTATCTATAATGAGTTAATTTGCTATAGGTTTTTTTTTCAAAAACACACAAAGGGATAGATATCCTATTTCATGGAACTTAACTCCTGAAATAAATGGATTGATAATTTTAGATTGTTGACTTATTTGTAATTGTTTTTGTTTTTAATCGTCTCTGCTAATTACAGTTTCAGTACGAAGGAATTACTCTATTTGACACAACTGTGTGGAATTTTAGTTTTTTTAAGCTCTTAAAGTTTGCATTATCATTTGCGCAAAAGATAAAAAAATGCAGGGGGTAAGCATCGTCATTTAAGTTTAATAATGAACTAAGGAGTCAACAGATATTTTCGACTATGTTGATATATTTTAAGATCTTGTCTTCCTGAATTATTTTTCTATTTTTACATTAATTTGTTTTTTTTTTCTTTATCTAATATATTTAACGCCAAAAACGCAAAATGGGTTAAATTATCAACGAAGAGAGTCGATGTTGATATACAAAAAAGTACTTTTGGTTTAGTACACTTTTCTTACATGTCTTATATATGAGGGTAATAACTCAACAAAATCAACGAAACACAAAGAATGTTGTAAAATGTAAAAAAAAATGTGGTACTACATACTTTAAAAAACTCGGAAATAAATGTTTAGGTCGAAGACACATCTTATCATATGGCCTTGTACGAGATTTAATAGCATTTCCGAATGCCTTTGTCACAAACGTTACCACGGTCGTTTGAACAACAAAAATGTCCATGACCACAGCCGGTTGGCGGACAAAGTTCTACACAAATACCTTATGACTGCTCTCTAAGTTAACTTTAGAAAAAAATTAAGCAGACCTGCAAGTTAACTTTATCCTTATCAGACCTGGTTTCTTTTTTTAAGACTGATGTAGACCAGACCTGAGGACAGGTCAGCTTGACCAGACTGAACTGTAAATAGGTCTGCTCTTAACCTGTCCTGTGGACAAGTCTGCTATTTGACAGACCAGTCATGTCAGTCATGGAGACAGGTCTGCTCTTTTATCTGTCCTATATTTTCACTGATCGGAAGTCGATACTCAAACGATATTTATCAATCAAAGCGGTCCTGTGTGCTAGTTAACTTTGGATCATTTTAACTTTATCTTAAAGCAGACGAAACAAACGTTAACTTTTATAAGAAAAGGTCTGGTTCGGACAGAGCCGTCCAGATCAATATAGAAAGGAAAAGGTGGTATGATTCCCAATGAGACAACTCTGAACAAGAGACCATAGTCAGCTATAAAAGCCCCAGAAATGACCAATGTAAAACAATTCAAAAAAGAAAACTAACGGCCTAATTAATGTACAAAACAATGAACGAAAAACAAATATGTAGCACAGCAACAAACGACAACCACTGAATTACAGGCTACTGACTTGGGACAGGCACATACATACAGAATGTGGCGGGGTTAAACATATTAGCTTTTAATAGCAGACCTGGTCACTAGTTAGCTTGTGTGTAGGAATGGTTTTGGCAAAGTTAACTTCGTCCAGAGTTCATTTCAATATTGGACCTGTCATAAAATTAACTTTTCGGGCCGTCATAAAACAGTCTTAGTGGCAAGTCTGCTTTTTAAGTTAACTGTTCTAGCACAGGTCGGAGTAGTCATACCTCCTTTTCCAAGTTAACTTTCACCAGCTATAACGTCTGGTCTTCAATTTAACTAGCTGTACAGGTAAGGACTACACCCATCTATACCTGGAGGTAGGGTTGGACACACCAATCTGCACTCTAACAATTTACTGTCTACTACACCATTTTGTTGGCGTCTTTGTTAGATTGATTTGTATGTTTGAGTCAGATGTGTTGTATGTCTGATATGTATGTTTACACAGTTTTTGCTTCTGGATCCAACGTAATCTCACATTAACCTTTTATGTCTGTTTGGGTTGCTCACCCAATTGTGTCAATATGACTGAACTAAATACGACTGTCATAAAAGAGGGATGTTTAGTTAGTTATGACATGTATAAAACCAGGTTTAAGCCACCATTCTCTTCAGAAAATGTCTATACCAAGCCAGGAAAATGGCAGTTTTTTGTACTCGTTCCGTTGATTGATAGCGTTTGATTTGGTTGATTTTTATGGACTTCTCAAATCTATTATGGTTTGCCTTGGAGTATGGTATTTTTTGCTATACTTTTTTATTTATGAAAATCTGATCCAAGACTGAGCAGAAAAAAGGTGCAAATTCAAAACCCTACTTATAGAATTATCAACATGTATATGAGACAACATTTTACATCAATCAAAAATAATCTAGTTTGGGAAATTCATCATTTTATAACGGATCTTTCGTTTTATTTATATCTCCATTTTTAATTAGTTTTTAATACGTAACCTTATAACACACTATGCGTGCCTGAAACAAACACATTCACATTCAGACACACACACACAACAAAAGATAGCGAAATTAAAGGTGATACACTTCCTTGGTATGTGACCACTAACAGTAGTGCTGAAGACAACTTAAACGCAAAAACGGCACAGTATTAATTAGTATATTTCGATATCGTCTTGTCGTTGATAGATTCGAAGTGACTGTTTATTTATAATTTATTTTATACATGTTTCAAATGAAATAACCAGAAAGTCACCGAACATGTGAACACGTCATAGAATACTAAAGACACTTGTTGTTAGAAAATATTTACATTGATTTGTAAACATGACAATTGGTAGACTTTTTATTCTATCAAGAATTTTCAATATCATCTTTGTTAACATGACCTAGTGTAATTCGTAAATGTTTTTCCAATTTTTTCTCTTTTTTTTCAAAAACCACCAAGAAAACACTTCGGGGTTACTTGTAAGCCTTCGAAGGATAACTAGTTCCTTCTCCTGTACATATGTCAAACCAATAAATGAAAAAAATAACAAATGTTATAAATCAAACTAGGTATATTGTAGTAACACGATAATGTAAAATATTGTTTACCTACAAAAAGCTTTTAAGCACTTGAAATGTTAGCATTATGAAAAAAAATAAATTCAAGTGCAACTTCACAAGTTATATCTTTATATTCAAAATTGTATTTGCCCATAAAAGAATAAAAACTGCAATAGTTTTTAAAAACTATATCTAAGTAATATTCCTGCAATACTATTTTGCTATACCGTTGTGTTTTTCTTCGACTTTTGATTTTTGATTGTGCCTTTGTATACGTTTCCATGTATTCAAAAATAAATGGAATACCAAAGGTTGCCTTTGAGAGAATGACAATTATCTGTTTTACAAAAGAGTCGTTACTTGATAGACATTAATTTTATTGGAGGAAACCCCCTTATATAAACCACATCGTTTTAAACAATGAAAAAAAGTAAATTTAAATGTATTTTCAACAAAAATAAGAGTCTTAATGACACTGGTGGCATTAGGTGACAGTGTTCCAGGTTAATGAACGTAATAAATACTTATAAATGACATACAAAGATGCGTGTGCTAATTTGTAATGTGTCTACATGTACATGTAATATTAGATTTAGGACATGTTTACTTCCCAAACTAATTTTTCTTTCATGCTCAAATAAGTAAATGTTTAACAAGTATTGTATAAGGTATAAAAAGCATACAGATTACAATCATTTTATCTTTTTGTCGTCAGCCTTCAGACAACACAATGTTCAGACTTACCAGCAGAATTCTTATCTGTGTGTTTCTGATATTTCTCTTCAACACAGAAGTGTCGGTTCAAGGTACGTATGATTTTTTCAGGTATTCTTATCAAAATCTAATCATGAAATGTCGTCCATTACATTAATTCTGTTGATGAAAATTCAGTCGAAGGCCAAATACGACAAACTGAGTTACTGGTCCGCATTTAACTGTACAACTTCTAATCGGTAACCAATATTTACAACTGGTTCTTTTTAAATCATCGATTAAGCGCATTACGCTGTGTATATCAATAAACGTGTTAAGATTGGGTCAAAGGATCGTCTTTTATATTAATATGACATGCCGACGATGGAATTTTTGTAATAAACAGCGTGAAGACAGTCGGATATCCAGAAATTTGAATAGAATTGAGAGCACTTGTGGAATCGTACACACCTTTAGTTTAGACCAGTAGAACTAAGTATATTTTCCTTTAGTTTTTGGATAAAGAGTTCAATTTTTGCTCTATTTATATACTTTATATGCGAGCGTAGCAAGAGTAGTTTTAATTCGTTTTTCATTTGCAATTTCAGCAAAGCCTATATAGACTACATATTCAGTTGAATTTTAATCGAATTTTCATTTATTACGTATTTTCAAAATAGCCCATTTAAAATAAAGTACTAATGCGTTAACAATTATATTATTTGAATTATCTGTACAGATTCCTAATAGAATATCTTTTTTCAACAAGTGCCTCGTTTTTTATTAAGTTACAAAGTTGTTAATTTCTGACAACTGTTTCAATCAATGGTTTAACATTGTTACATTGATGAAATAAATGCTCAAGAGTTTCAATATTTATTATTTTCATCACACAAGTGACATTTTCCGTTTGACATATGCAGTATTCGTAGTTTGTTTTCAGTACATATTATCCTATGTATACATTTTCATTGAAATTCTGTAACTTTTCTATTAATATCCATTTTACCGAGATTTAATCAATTTTTTTCAAAATTTATATCCTCGCTATACAAATTTTCTCATTTTGTTTGACACTTAGGGGTCTCAATTCTGTTTATGGTTCATTAAAGAAATTGTAATGTAAAATCTTTAGTTTGAATGATTTTATTATGTGGATTTAGAAATTAAAGTTTTCAGAAATTTTGATTTTGTGGCTTTTTTAGGTGCTTTGAACATCGTTAGTTTTTTTTTTTTTTAAATCTGCATGAGTGTTTGTGGTATGGAACTTTTAACTCGCGATTATTCCGAAAACGTTACATTTATCTGTTAGTTGTTGGTATATTTCATTGCATGATTTAAAATCTGTGGTATTATCGTCCCATATGTCATCAATAGTTTTTGTTTGACTTTTATAAAAAGAAGAATAAAATAAAGATTTGCCCTGAATCAAATATTTGAGCTCCAAGTACTGGCTGTTTCTTTACATCTATTTCGTTAAAAATATCCTGTGTGATCCCTGTCAATTTTTACCACGATTGTAAAACGCTTTTGTAATGATGTGGTAGTGTTTTAATATCAAGACCTGAAAGGTCAGAACATCTACACAGAAAAAGTTCATCGGCAAATTTCTTATCATATTTTTTTAACCAAAATTTACCTATTGCGTTCCAACTAGGTATTGGCTTCTGTAATACCGAATATGGCAATTTTATATATTCTTTCTATCCAACTATCCAAATTCATCATCCACATGCTCCCCCTTTTTTTTACATCTAAACAACAACCCTTTCGGTCTACTTTTATTCACTTTACCATCCCAAATAAATTCCAGAGTATGTCAATTTTTACTCTTCCAGACGTGTACACAATTTTGTACCTTTTCTAATATTGATTTCAAAATTTTGTCATTATCAATGTTATAACCATGGTGAATACCTAGTGTTTTTATGTTATCTGTTGTCCAGTTTATCTTTTTAAAAGTAGGCCGTTTGCGTTTATTTGCGCCAGTATTTATCCCCATAGTCTTTTCGTATTTACGTTTAGAACCCGAGGCCTTTTCATATTTGTCTGATACCAATATCATCACATGAATGAGAAGGATTTCTATCATTTTTGTTGTCAAGTGTACAGTGTGTTTAAAATCCCCTACCAAAATATTGTAATAATCTACACTGTCTATCATCTGTAAAATTACCAAACAATTATGAAACGATTCAAAAAGCCGTTTCCTCTAACGACTATTATTGTTGACATATATATTTTATATATGATAAAACGCACTTATAGTTTAATGCAGCATTTTATTATTCAACCGTTTTGAGAGTTAGGATTATCACACACGACTTCTCCGGAACAATGTCTGTTTTGTGAAAATAGTGACACCACGAGAATCACTGGTTCCGCAATTCCAGGCACTTTTATAGCCCTATTTATCTTCCATTCATTTTGCCACTGTATGGTATCATTTACTGTGCAATGTGTTTCTTGTAGACAAATCAAATCAATTGAAAACTAAATTACGTTTCGTTTTATCACGTAAGCCGTTTACATTCTTTATTGTTTTTTTTTTATTTTACAGTACACGATTTGATTTACATCTTAACAGCGCTATGCCTCGTTGATTTAATTTCAGAGAAACCGTATAAACATTCAAGATCAACACTACCGTTTTATGTTTACTTTCAATTTTACGAGTCATTGACCAATTAGAACAATACACTATTAGTGAATACATTTCAAATTGTCTATCTAAAAATATAACAATACAAATACAGCGATTCATATTGAAGTACAGTAGATTAATATAGAAAATAATCTATAATAAAAATTCAAAAACGGCAATTCAGAAAAATAAAACATATGTACAATTAACATTTTTTTATTTTGTATTCATAGTTTTACATAAAAAGTAACAAATACGATAATAATTTCCGTTTGTGTCTTATCACTGAGATTCATCTGTAGAACTTTTTTGATTTGTTTACTCTCTTTCTCTGCAGAAAGCGTCAGCGATATGTCACCAAGATTGCGCTTGGTGTCCCCAGGATGAGGGGTCTGCTGTATTTGTGACAGCTTAGGGTGAAGAAATTCACGTAATTTGACTCGAACTGTTTGAGCCCCTTCAATTGTGATATGAAAACCACTAGTGTCTGGTTTTTTCATAAAGCGCCTTCATTACGATACCTTTTTTTGTGAAAATGCATTCTACATCAATATAGGCCAGCACTTCATCTTTGAGACATAACTTTTCAAATAACTTATTCACATTAATTTTGTAGCCGTCTCATCTACTGTGTGAATATAGTTATAGTTCCCTTTTCTCGGAATGATACCACAAAGTCCAATATCCGCATTCGTGTTGCAAAAACATTCACTTGGTCACTGTCGTGGTTTTTTTAACTTAAGTCATTGGTACCTAAGCTTATGATGACCTTGCCTACATGTGAACCATTGAAGTTCACACAATGATTTTCAAAAGCCGCACCCAAACACTTATATATTTTTTCTAGGGAGGCACCATTGAAAGAGGCCTTGATTAGATTGTCCTCAAATCGACCAACTCTCAAACAATTTAAAGCTCCTAACATTACGTTTGTCCCTTTTGATTTGGTGAAGTATTTTTCAGGTGTCTATAGAATGTTGGTTGCCACATGTAAGGGGTCAATGGACTGACTTTCATTTTTTGTCATTTTCTTGAGCTTCTCTACCTTCTAGAATATCATTAGCATAATTACCATAAGACTTTATCATTTCACGCTGTTCAAAATCAACGCATTCATTACGGACGTACCCGGTTTTTTTCACAGAAGGAACATTTATATTCATTAAGATAGTCGCTAGCAAAATGCCCAATTTCTGCACGGTTATAGCAGCGTTTACTATGATCTGGTTTATCTTTGCAAGCATAGGAAGGGCGATTTCTTTGTTTACAATGCATACAATCTGTACGATCATTGTCGGCAATCAATCGGACAGCATATCTCCTGAATGTTGTTTTGTTTGGTATTGTCGGAACACAATTATTGATTAGAATGTTTCTTGACCCATTTTCTATATTTTTTCCTCGAATATATCCCCGCTTTACTGAACCCAGGACAACATTGCCATACTGAAGCATTTGTATAGCTACATAGCAGTCATTTAGTTCATATGGAAGGTCTTTGATTGTTATGTTCGTTATTGTGTTTTCGACATTAATAAATTTGACGCTTCTACTTTTTATTGTTAATTCACACTGTACCAACCTTTCTTTGGCATCTAGGTCATTTAAAGTAACAACACAACTTTTTTTAGTCAGTTGGATGGATTTAACACTCTCTAATTTTATTTGTTTTTCAAGTTCCTTATTATTTCATCGTGTGTTATCCCCTTAAAACCACGAGTATAAAAATGAACTGATAGTATTCTTTGTATGTTTGCCATTTTGAAATACTGGTGAGTTGAATTCAGATGTCGCACACATAAAAATGTCTATCAATAGAATCACTCTATCGCCTGTGTGAAAATGCCTATAAATACAAGAAACAAATAGCAAATTCCTCTATGCATACAAAAATCCGTAAAGTTATAGACTCCAAGACTATATTACAAAGGAAAATCGAAAAATTTATCGGAGCTAAAAAAAACACTCACTCTGCAAGTAAGGAAAATAACCTGTATAATTATGTACGTTTGAATAAAATAATACGTTGGCTATTCGCCATTACGATAGCCCCTAAAATGTACACCTGAACGCAAACTCATCGTACGGTCTTTCATTCTCTTATTAATTCCATCAAGTCATATTTTTAAACAGAGACAAAACCTACATTTTTTTTAAATAACATTTTTTTTTAATTTTGTAAAGTATGAATAACTGCATTTTAGCAACGTTGAATCGGGAATCTGTTTTGTTTTATTTACCAGGAACTTTTAGCAACGTTGAATCGGGAATCTGTTTTGTTTTATTTACCAGGAACTTTAAGCAACGTTGAATCGGAAATCTGTTTTGTTTTATTTACCAGGAACTTTTAGCAACGTTGAATCGGGAATCTGTTTTGTTTTATTTACCAGGAACTTTTAGCAACGTTGAATCGGGAATCTGTTTTGTTTTATTTACCAGGATCTTTTAGCAACGTTGAATCGGGAATCTGTTTTGTGTTATTTACCAGGAATTTTTGCAACGTTGAATCGGAAATCTGTTTTGTTTTATTTACCAGGAACTTTTTTGTCTCAACGATTAAAACAATATTATGTTAAAAAAAAACTGAGTTACATCCTACATTTCTTAAGTATAAACAATCAAAATTCAAAAACAAGTCACGTTACTCATTGTAATTTATATCAATATATACGCAATTAATACATTTATTTAACAGGCTACAAACTGAAATGTCCACCTGTTCCCATAGGTGATTTCAGCCACTGCGCTGACATGTGTGGAGCTACTGGTTGTAAAAATGGATATCTTTGCTGTTCTATTGGCTGTGGAAAAGAATGCAGAAAGGGAATTCGGATTAATCATTAAAGTGGCAATTACCTACATATGTGGTAAGAAATTGTTATACTTAACTTTCCTGAATTTCAATAATAAAATGCAACTCAACAATAACAACTTTGATACATGCATAAAGCAACATGCCGCTTTCTTATCAATATCTTAAGCTCTATATAGTCCAAAGTCTAATAAAGGTGTACATACATTAATCAGAAACAATAAGTTATGGTTGTTTACCCTTTAAGCGTCATTTCGGACCTAATGTTATGTGGTTTACATCGCCCTTGATCCAGTACACTCCAGTGTGTAGTGTCAATTCTGTTTAACGTGCTCTGTGAAAATTTCTTCTGGTTAGTTTATGACGTAGATCGGTACTTCTAAATCCCGCCATTGTGTTATTGTGATATGGTTAATTTTGAGTTCTTGTCTTTCATTTTTGCTTATGTACTTTGTCTATATGCCATTTTGTGTTTCTTTGTTATAACAGTTATTTGTTTCATACTGATTAAGATTATATTACAATGTTGACTGCTGTACCCCAATTTTTGACGTGTTTACCTATTATGTCTGTTTGTTTTTCTCACACGTTTTTGTCAACATAATGGAATTATATGCGACTGTCATACAAGTGAGAGGTTTAGCTAGCTATAAAGCTATTTAAGTAGGAATATGACAGTTGTTTCCATTCATTAAATGTGTTTGAGCTTTTAATTTGGCCATTTTATAAAGGACTTTCAATTTGAATTTCCCTTGGAGTTCGGTATTTGTGTTATTTTACTTTTTATGAGTACTAGTACCCTTTGATAAACAATCAAAGATTTTTTATCCAAAATTGGATGTTTGAATTGTTTTTTTTTTTTTTTTTTTTTTTTTTTTTTTTTTTTTTTTTTTTTTTTTTTTGCTATTACTGGTGCTAGGTTGCTATCACAATTACATTTATCCCACATCTCATGTTCTTCATTTCTTTACTTTTAAAAGATTATCGCATGATTAAAAAAACTAATATTGATCAGGACAAAATAAATCAGTAATTAGCATATTGAGTTTTTAAAATTCAAAAGTCAACTACAAAAGATGAAGCATGAGCAACTAGTTAAACATACTTTAAGTTGTTGCAATGCCTAGAGTCTACCTTTGCAAAAGTAGCTTTCATTGTTTTCAAGCATTTCAAAAAGTCATTGTGTGTTAATTTGAACCGGTTGGTTTGTTTGATTTAAGAAACTCATAAAATACTGGCTGAAAAATGCTCATGAGAACTTTACATTCCGTAGGCATTTATATTTACATCAGAGAAACATATCGTTCCAAATTTATATAAATTCTGTCTTCACATGATCTTTTTGAAAGTCAATCGAATTCCAAGTTCAAACATCAATTTTTTTTTTCTTTCAAATATTCGTTGTACAATACTTGTGTCACACATTACCACAAATATGTTCCGATTGTCGCATCCACAATCATATCCGCTTTCTCTAGACAAAGCCATCGCTGAATGCGACTAATCAACGAAATATTAACTTGCCAAGGAAAACAGGACAGATGCCACAAGTAGAGCAGGGTCTTGTTTTGTTTGGTTTTTTAGATAAAAAACTATGCCTGTAAACTTCAATGAATAAAATCGTATTAAATAGCCTAAATGTAACATCTTAAGCATCCAGTTATGTAGGTTTGAGTGGCTCGATTAAAACGTGTATAGATGAGATAATTTCGACAGGTGTACTATCATTCTTAAATTGAAATACAATGTATTATATGAAAATAAACACTTTTATTTTAGTCGTCCGTCATTCCCTTTTCACGTCTAAATTAAACATAAACACCTTGAAAAAACAACTTTTACCTTTCTCAGTTTTATAATTGCCTGACATAATCATATATTATAAATCGTAATGAAACAGTAGATAAGAACCATAGTAAAGAAATATTTGAAAAAAATATTATAAGTGTTCAGTTATGTAGTGAAAAAATAACCCCCAGAAAAAATAAACAAAACATTTTTGCACTATTATTGAGTGATTTAAATGGAAATTTTACATTATAGCATTGTACAAGATCTTGTCTTCGTGTACTATGTACATGGAATAATTTATGAAGTTGATTGATTGTTGTTTGCTTTACGCCCAGTGGCAAATATTTCATGCATGTTTATGACGAGAACACATAAATTTTAAAAACAATAGGTAGGTCTTGCAATAGGAGTTTGACAGTGAGGTTGGACGTGAAACTTGGAATACCACTGGAAAATGAGGGTATATTGAATAAGGACAAAAATCAAAACATATCATTCGACAAGGATGAGATTTTGGCGAATCATAAGTCCTTCATGGCTTCAATAAACATTGCACTGAACAACTAATCGGAGGACTTACCTTGTTTGTATTGGATAGCTTAACTTAACAAAACTCCGTACAAACAACGGTACATTGCCGGCTCATCTGCATGTTTCACTAAAGAATTGTTCACTAGATTGTCTAAAATTATGTCCGCAGTGAAAGAGGGTCTTAAGAAATACTGTGAAACTGTTTATTCGCGCAGTGGTATTAACCATATGTGGATTCTTAAACTCTAAAGAACTTCTGGTTAATTTTGAATCTCGGTTTTTTTCAGAAATTAGTTCTATCAAAACTTTTGATTTTTTAACCTTGTATACCACCATTCCCCATGTGAAATTGAAAAACCGGCGAAAAGAAATAATCTACAATGCTTTTCAACTTAGAAATGGTAGCATACGTTATAAATGTATTACTTTGGGATACCATAAGGCATATTTTGTTAAAATAGAACAAAAGGGTAAATAATGCTACACAGAGGAACAAGTGATCACTATGCTGGAGTTTCTTATTGACAGCATATTTGTTGAATTTGGTGGTAGACTTTTTCAACAAATTGTGTGCATTTCTATGGGAACGAACTGTTCGCCTCTCCTTGCCGACCTCTTCTTTTTTTCATATGAATCGGAGTTCCTTCAGACACCTGTCAAAATCAAGAAGATCAAAGTAGCCAGGTTATTTAATTTCACTTTCAGATATATTGATGATGTTCTTTCCATAAACAATCCGAACTTTTCTGATTGGGTTCCATAAATATATATCCCCAAGAACTGGAAATTAAAGAAACAACAGACACGGCTTCCTCTGCCTCATTTTTAGACTTATACCTCGAATTTGACATACACAGTCATCTCAGTACCAGAATCTATGACAAACGAGACGATTTTAATTTTGAAATTATCAATTTCCCCCAACTTAGTAGCAATATACCAACTTCACCTGCATATGAGATATACATTTCCCAACTTGTTCGGTATTCAAGAGGTTGCAGCTCCTACTCAGACTTTGTAAAATTTAACCAGTGTCTGAGCAGAAAGTTGATGAACCAGGGATATGTCAAAGAACGTCTCGACCTTTTTCTAAAAAAAGTTCATCGGAAGGTACCAAGACCTTGTTGAGAAATATTGCGTATCAACTTCACAAATAATATACGATGGTCTTGAAGTATAGATTCTGCGTACTTACGTTGTTTATTATCTTAATAACGTGTAATAGTATTCTTTTACTTGTCTTTATTAATACTACTTTTACTGTTAAGTCTGTCTTTTGTGATATCCATTTGACGTGACTCTGTACTTATGCATCCCATCATACTTTGAGCGACAAAAAAAATTTATTTTATTAATATTACTTTTACTGTTAAGTCTGTTTTTGTGATATCCATTTGACGTGACTCTGTACTTATGTATCCCGTCATACTTTGAACGACAAAATTATCTTATATCTACCTGTGTGACGTCAAACACGTGATTCTACGCCAGTACTTGAAACCTTCAATCCTTTATGGGTGGATTTTACATAGATAAATATAATCGTATAATAAAAAAGCACAATGAGGATGTTAAATTTGATGTATGCCTTTATGTGCTTCTTTGTTACATTTGTTTGTTTTTATAGTGATTAAGATGATAACACAATGTTGACTGCTGTACCCCTATTTTTGACATTTTTACCTATTATGTCTGTTTGTTTTGTTCACGCATCGTTGTCAATATAATGGAATTCGATGCGACTGTCATACAAGTGAGAGGTCTAGCTAGCTATAAAACCAGGTTCAACCCACCATTTTCTACATAAGAAAATGCATGTACCAAGTCAGGAATATGACAGTTGTTATTCATTCGTTTGATGTGTTTGAGCTTTTGATTTTGCCATTTGATTAGGGACTTTCCTTTTTGAATTTTCCTCGGAGTTCAGTATTTTTGTGATTTTACTTTTGATCCTTGAAATAAACTCTGAATTCGTCCATCGATATGTACGTGTAGTTTCAAATATCATTTAATGCATCTAATTTAGGTTACATACTTTTAGCACGCTTTAGTAACTGTGAGAATTCTGTGAAACTGTATTGTTTATTGTACTTGAGTTTTTGGTATTTTATTCTATACTACCGCTCTTCTGGTTGGTCTCGTGGGAGTGTGTTCGCCTCGAATCCCTACCGGGTTAAACAAATACGTTAAAACTTGTATTTTCCCTTTCAACGATAAACAAGCGGCATATATGAGTAAAAGCACAGACTGGTCGGCTCGGAGTCAGAATTGTATCCGGGTAGGGTGAATTTTCTTTCTGCGAACGGTCAGCTTGTGAACTTACACGTTAAAAATCCGGCTCAGCGTGTCAATCTAGTACAAAGCAGGGTTAATATTCATATCATATTTACATGTTTTTGACTCTTAATGTTTGATTTGTCTGTGTCGTTGAGTTGCTGTCGCATTAATGTATACCTTTATTTCCTTGTATTCAAAACCAAAGGATTGGCTTGGATATAGAAATATTGACATATCTGGACTTCTTCCGTCCGACAGTATAACCTTGCTAAAGGGGTGCGTCCGTTTGGCTATTCGAATGTATAAATACTTAAATAACAAAACCGATCAGTTTGACAGTATCTAAAAAATAAATGAAACAGCCAAAATAAGTTGAATACCTATATAAATTGTTGCCAATATTTGTTTTTACCCATTTTTTGCTTTTGTGACAACTATACCAGATATAAAAAAAAAACTTGACACCTCACATTTTGTCACATAGACGAGACTGCGGTCGTTGTACGCTTCAATATATGAGGTATAGACACTCAATGAAGATTTTTTTTCTGGTCACTCCCCTCCCCTTAGTATGTCTGGATAGGATAAAATATAGTCCCTGGTGTGGACTACGTTATTTAATGTAAAAAAAAATAAAAGTAAAGATAAAAATGAGGAAAGAAATTCTTGAACTTACGCTTAAAAAATCAAATTTAGATAAAAATCAAATATATAAAAATTGGAAAACTGTGATAATTGTCAACTGAAGACTTAGGGTTATACATCAGAAAATGAAGCTGATTATTTTATTGCTTATTTAATGTCCAGTGGCAAACTTTAGTAAGATAGAGCGTTGGCTACAGGTAAAATATATGCCGTACTAGAATAAAGTTGAACCATGATCAAAATCGGAAATTAAGCTATTAGCCACCCCCACCCCACCCCCCCCCCCCCCCCCCACCCCCCCTCTTTTTTCTCTACGGTAGACGAATGCCAACAACAAAACGACTTCCATTCACAACCAATAACGGCCACTATAAGAAAATGACATATGGACTTATTTTGTAAATAAATTCCTGTTGCAGCCAACATTTCCCGGTTTCGGACAGGTTTGTATTTCCACTCAAATACTGTCTGAATATTGACCGGAGATTATAAATCAACCAAAAGCACTTTGATTCCCTGAAATTGTAAATTATGGTATTGCGCTGGCTGTTTTTTTTTTTCGATACTATTTTGAACCCCTGATTCTAAGAGGGCGTGTCTAATTAGTCATGTCCAATTAACTTTTAGTAAATTGAACCTCAACTTAAAGACTTACACCGGGCTAATAAGTTCGAGGTACAATAAGTAAACAAAAGAGATCCTTTATGAAATGAGATCGTCCCAGGTATCTTTGATAATTATTTTGCGTTGAATAACAATGAAAAATGCACCAACAGGTTTGTAAATTTGCTTACATGTATCAGTTATTCCACTTTACCTCAGTATCGATTTTTTTTGTATATCATACTTGCTTTCTTTTTTGTTGTAGGCTACCAGCATGAACATGTGAGATTTCAGATAAAGGACATTCGTACTATTGATATTTGTCTTTGCCTTAACACTGACTTTGGCGTAGTACGTCTTTTCAAGTAAAAATTATTATATATATCGGTCCATTCATTTAATGTGTCCTTCATTGTAAACTTATTCTAAATAACTCAGGCCATTTAAATTCTTCAATTACAATAAAAATCTAGGAGGAATAAGTAAAATTGCATGCGATCAGATCAACAGCCTACTGTCTGACAAGATGATTTTAAATGGGGTATTTGATAAAATACTTACTTTGCGGTTTCATTTAAATTGAAATATTGTACATACATAAACGTAAAAGGATCGAGGCGCAAATTTTCACAAGTGTTTTACAAGAGTAACATACAGGTTTTGTGTGAGGATGTCATTTCAGCATATTTTTTTACGAAAAGAAAGTTCATATAAAGATAACGACAAGTCGTGACAGTAATTATCGGAGACCCTTCCTTACTTACATATTACACAAAAACCATCATCTAAGATACCAGGGGGTTATGTTCAAATTGTCATAAGCACGGACACAGCATTAATTTTACAAAAACTGATTTAAAACAAATCACAAGTGTGATGTTTAATTAAGATCATAATAAAGTTACACATCTTAATCACGCAATTAAATCAAACAAGGGCGATAATGTCCTGTGCAATTTGAGTTACATCATAGACTAAAACATGGAAAACACGATCTTTAAACTATGGCGTCACTGTTGGTAATTGGTCACTTTTACGTAGTATAATATTAATAGGAATCCGGGACTGCATTGTTGGAACGAATGTGATCCGGTCCAAGCAGTTGTCAAATACGCAAATTAAGACTATTTTGCTCCAGCCGACAATGAAAATGTATGTACCAAAATGCAAGTCAGAAATATGACAGTTGTTTCCATTTGTGTGTTGGGTTTGAGATTTTGATTTTGTCAATTGGTAAGGGACTTTCCGTTTTGAATTTTCCTTGGAATTCAATTTTTTTTTTTCTTTTTTTACAATTTGGTCTCGATTATGCACAAATGTGAATAACAAGCAGGTTTTCAGAATATGATATATGCATATACATATTAAGTTCATTTTTATGATCTAAAATAACTGCAAAATTATACTTTAGATGCATCAAATGATTAATAGAGGGTTTGATTTTTTCTGTACTTTCGAATTTTTAATGTTTTAATGCTTAATCAATTTATGACTATTGAACAGCGGTATACTACTGTTGCCTTTATTTACTGTGACTGTTGACATCAGTAACAAAAGAGGAATTCATATATCAATAAAAATACATACTACGTTCGTTTATATCATAAAAAAGAGGTCTAGTCACGATAAACAAGTATGTAGTTGTAAAAAGATCTGAAAAAAAATATTCATTTATTTTAATATTTCTTACGAGAGATGGGTATTTACATACGCATTTCTAGATCTGTAAGACAAACAAAATCAAGAAATCGTTCACAATTTCTACAAATAAAATTGTTTAATTATTTAGATTTCTAGAGGAGGATAATTTCAGCTTATCATTAGAACAGACTATTGAAACTCTTGTTCGATTTCCAGAAACAATCTGAAGAACAAGGAGACACTAAACGATCTCCACCTTAAATACCATTACTTTTGTTCGTAGGTAGACGCTGCACATTTCTTGCTAACACATGATGTCCTTATAGTTATTACTTATTAAAAAAACACTGATCCTCGACCAATTTTTTTTAGATTTTTATCACCATTCAGACTCAGGCTAAACTCTAAAAGAGAGAAAGCTAAAATGTAAGATTAGGCAGACATAATACAGTACACTTAAAGAGACTGCATACCAAATAACATTGACTTCAATAAGTGCTTCTATTTAAACTGTCATAATCGTAACCTGTTTACTAGAATATATGCAAAATATTTAAGCTGACGATAAACATGATAAAGGCCGAGAGCAAATCATTTAAATGCCAATTTGATGTTTCTTTGATAATACAAATTCAAAGCAAAGATAGGGATTAGTTTTTCGCTTTAAACAGACTTAATCAAAAACTTTAGGATGTTAACAATGCAGAGTTTTAAAATCAATGAACCTTGTTTGAAGGGGTGCCGAATAATCTCCTTATCAACGAAATGTACACATAATACACTTTTATTACAAACTGTTCTAGAGTTACTATTAATCGTTCCCCTTTAACTAACGAATTTATAAACTTAAAAAATCGTTGACACGGAAACAGCACGAATAAGTCTCGCTTCTCCGACTTCGTCAAAAATTAAAAAAAAATGGTTTTCCAGAAATGTAAAAATAACAAAAGGTTTATCATTATGACTCTTTCATTATTTATGTCCTTTGTTTTCATTTACGACCAACACAGTTAACTACATGTATCTATATAAGTAAGAACATATAAACAATACTTTTGCCAACTGTAACTAAATCTGTTAGATGTTGAGTGTGTACTGATTGATAATTTAGTCTTAAAAACATGATTTTTTTTGTATTAGTTGTGTTTGGTTTTGAAGCAGTTGTCAGCAAGTGTGAGTACTCTCAGATCTTTACTTTGTGTCTATTTTGTTGTGAGGGATGTACATATTTCCTGCATCGTCTGGTTTGTGTTTTTCCAAGATAACGTTCTGCTTTGTATCGATCTGATGAGTTAATATAAAAATAAGAAAATGTGATAGAATTGCCAATGAGACAACTCTCCACCAGAGACCGAATGACATAGAATTTAATAACTATAGGTCACCGTACGATATTCAACCATGAGCTAAACCAATACCACATAGTCAGCTATAAAATGCCCCAAATGAAAAATATAAAACAATTCAAACGAAATAAGCCCTTTTCAACTCATTTTGATAGTTTGTTCTTATGTTGTACTGTTGCACCATTGTCCAAGGTTAGGGAATGTTTGGCGTCATGAAACATGTTGAACCCCGTCACAAACTTAATGTGCCTGTCCCAATTTATAAGCCTGCAGTTGTTATTATCGTATTTTGCTGTAGCTCATTTTTCTTTTTTATTCATTGTTTTGCATATTTTGTTCTTGTATTGTACCGTTACATCACTGTCCTATGTTAGAGGAGGGTGTGTGCATTTAATCCCCGCCACATTCTTTTTGTGCCTGTCCCAAGTCAGGATCTTGTTGTTCAGTGGTTGTCGTTAGTTCATGTCTATCAATTTTTTTTTTTCGTAAATTGTTTTGTAATAAGTCAGGCCGTTAGTTTTCTCAACTGAATAGTTTCATATTTTTATGTCGGGGCGTTATAGAGCAGACTATACGGTATGGTTTTTTCTCATTTTTGAAGGCCGTATGGTTGTATTTTATTAGATATAAGAAGATGTGGTATGAGTGCCAACGAGACAACTCTCCATCCAAGTCAAAATTTAAAAAAGTAAACCATTATAGGTCAAAGTACGGTCTTCAACACGGAGCCTTGGCTCACACCGAACAATAAGCTATAAAGGGCCCCAAAAATTACTAGTGTAAAACCATCCAAACAGGAAAACCAACGGTCTAATCTATATAAAAAACGAGTAACGAGAAACACTTATGAACCACATCAACAAACGACAACTACTGAATATCAGATTCCTGACTTATGACAGGTGCAAACAAATGCTTACATTCATTTGACCTTTGTTTGAAAGTTGCATCATTCGCAACCATACCACATCTCCTTATTTTCATATTGTAATTATAAAGGACACTTATATGTTGCGAAAAAAACAAGCTACGTTAACAAACCTTGCACTTTACACTGTATTATCACTACATACTGCTCGGAGTCTGAAAAGACCATATTTGGATCTAAACCTGTAAGGTCGAGCACATATTTTAATTGACAAGACTCGACATAATCTCGACAGTACCTAATAAGTCTAATTGAGTACTTGGTCATCTTTGTATTGTCTGAATATGGTCTGGACAAATGCTTGACAAGTCTCGACAGTCTCGACTCAGTCTCGACCAGTCATGACTTTTAAATTTTTTCTCGACTGTTCTAGACTAGGTCTGAATCAGCCCATCTATCTCAATTACATATTGATCTTACAAAATGCAAGGTAATTTGGTAGTTTGGTTTATTGCTGTCAAATTTAAGAATTTAATAAAAATGTAAAAAAAAACTAGAACTTTCAATTTGAACTAAATTCAGATACTCACCTTTAAAAAATGTCTATAACTTTTTTAAATAAACTTGAATTTTCAGAAAAGTCTACAGCTATCTTAATTAAAAATTGATCTTATAAAATACCAGGTCATTTTGGTAGTTTGGTTAATTGCTGTCAAATATAAGGATTCAATTAAAAGGTGAAAAAAGCAAGAATTTTCAGTTTTGACTAAATTCAAATAAGTCACCTTTAAAAAAAAAATCTATAACCTTTTCAAATCATCTTGGATTTGGATAAAACTCTACAGCTATCTCCACTTTATATTGATCTTACAAAATGCCAAGTTATTTCTTAGTTTGCCTCATTTCTGTCACATTCTATGATTTAATTACATGTAGTAAGTAAACAAAGGAAGAATTTTCAATTCAGACTAAATTCAGATAGTCACCTTTACAAATTTCTACAAATTTTTCAAATCAATTTGGATTTTAATAAAACTCTGTAGCTATCTCAAATATTTATTGATCTTACAAAATGCCAGGTTATTTGGTAGTTTGGTTAATTGCTTTTAAATTTAAGAATCGTATTAACAGCTAGAAAAGCTAGTATTTTCAGATCGGACTAAATTCAGATAGTCACCTTAATTTAAAAATTTCTACAACATTTTAGTATAAGTAGGTGAGATTTGTGTTTGTAAGTCCAAGCAAAAATATCAATTTTCCTCAATACTCCTAAATTTATTTCGTAATTAAAGATCATAGTATGCGTATGAGACATTCTATTCATTAACTTTATGTATGTTTACAATAATGTTTGTCCTTGTGGAAAAAATTCGTGCCCTAGCCAGAGTTTTAGTAACTTGTATATAAATCTCTTAATAATGATAAATTTTATCAAATATATGTGAATTTGGAATACAATTACCTGCATTCCTATAGGAACCATTTGTGCATCTCTCCTGGTCGACCTTTTCTTGTGTTCATGTGAGT